CCTTTTGGATGACTCTGCTTTAAATTACTTTCTTTGAAGGCCACTGATGTGATTAGGTTCTCACTAAGTGAGTATCACTCAGTGAATAACTATTACCAGATACTGTGGACTCATCAGTTTTTATCCTTTTTCATTTCTAGTACACTTTAATGTTTTTATTTTTAATTGATAATGGTAGAAGGAAGAAAAATAGCTGTAATTATTGAATAAACATTCCCTTTAAAGGAGACAAGTCATTGGTGGGTGATAAAGAGGAAAGAGCTGGGCTTTAGAGTCAGACGGGGTTGAATTCCCAGCTCTCCTGCTGGTCAGGGGTGTTACCTGGGGGACGTGACTTAGCAACAAATGTGTATCCTGACACTTAAAGGAGGGTCATAGTACATCCTTCAAGGGTGGCCGTGCCTAAGAAAGACCATACGTAGACTATTCAGGTCAGTGCCGGGCACACGCTTCTCAGCGTGGTTAACTGCAGCCGTGACTATTTTTACTGCCATTTTTATTCATATTACTGTTTTCAGCCTGCAAACAGCTTCTCCTCACCTGACCTCTAGCTGATTTTAAAGTATTAAATTTCAGACTAGGGAAGAAATGGGGAATCCTTTGTTTAAATCTTTCCCTACTTCAGACAAGTGACCTCAGCATCCTTTCCTGTCCATCAGAGGACTTTAAATTAGCACCTTCTGCTGTGTGCTACCCACGTAGGACAGGAGGCTTCTTTTTGTCCCTCCATTTTGGCCTTGGAGGTAATTTGCAAAGATGAGCACTTGAGCATGTAAATGGTCAGTTCTCCAGGGGTGGGCAGGATATTAACTTGGTAAAATAAATCAAATTAACTGTTTAAGTTAAGCTAACTAAGTTCCTAAGGGTGAAGTTACCTCTTTTGTATTTTAGATCAGCGCTCATACTTGCTGTATTTCATGACTCACCGGACATAGTCAAGTTACTTCTTCAGAAAAGTGTTAGTCCCTATTCTCAAGATTCACGTGGATGGTCTGCTGAGCAATATGCTTATTCTAATGGGTTTGAACAGTAAGTGTTTACATTAAAAGGCCAAGTATCTCTTAACTGAGGTAGGAAGTGACCTAACTGTAACTTGTTATGTGACAGGTGATAGTTCCTAGTTGGGAGCAGGCACTTTGGGGATGGCAGTGAGACCCTCCACATCATGAGCTGGAAACCAGCAAAAGGCCAGGCTAGTGAGATGGAGCAGTGGGCACAGGGTTCTTTATCTCAGGCTTTGTAAGACCTTTATCCTTAGGGATCCTATTGTTCTCCATTTCATTCCAGTGTAACCCGTGTGCATGGGGGTACAAACAATATCACATATCTGATTTTTCTAATTATTTGGGTCTTGAAATGTTTAGTTGAGCAGAAAATCCTGTATTTTCCTTTGGGGACTTTATTCTATAATCTTCATTTTGAATTTTCCAAGAGCCTCAGGGATTCCCTGAGATCGCAGTGACAGTCCTCTCCCACAAGGCATTAGGGCAGGGTGAGGGCGCTCTAATCATTCTCTTGTTTCCCTTGATTCTGTTGCTGCAGTGTTGGTACTAAAACTGGTTTTAACAGGATCTCCTTGGCAGCTGAGTCTGGGGTCTGGACGTTGCTCTCTAAAGACCCTTAATAAAATTTTAAAAGAAGAAAAGGAAAAAGAAACTGGTCCTGCAGTCGGGTCATGACTGACCTCTGCT